GTTGGTGAATTGACATGAGACAATGCCATCTGGCCAGAAATAACCGCGTGTCCATAGATGTCAGCACACGCACATTCACCTGTGCTGCTTGGTGATGGGAGAGGCGGGTCACCAGGTGGTTCCATCACCGGGTGGTGCCCGGGGGTGCCATTCACGGGCGCTCCCACCCACCGTAATCGCATGTGCTAGCGGAGTGGTTACATCCAGGCCACAGACGCTGGGTCCTGGGTTGTGTTACTAAGTACCATGGCCATGGCATCAATAGGCAAGAGGGATTTTTCATCTCCATTATAATCTTACTGGAGGCCCGGTGCACGGATTTGTGCACATCGAAAGGAAATTAATTAGAAGAAATATTTTAGAGGCTGGGGAGGGATGCGGGGGTGTGTGTCTCCAGGGCATGTCCTGGGCACGAGGGCACGTCATAGCGGCTGGTCGAGCGGTCGGACGCTTAGCATATTAGGCTTTTATTACATAGGATAGGACCTCCCTTGTCTGTGAGGGCCATTGGTGACCAGGATGTCGTTATGTGACACATCACTATACATCAGGTGTGTATGCGTATCAGGGAGACACACACACACACACATAGGTACACACATTAGGTGTGTATGTACATCTCATTAATCTTTTAAGTGTGTCTTTTTTTTTTTAATCCTCACCTGAGAATATTTTTTCCATTGATTTTTAAAATTTTTTTAGTTTTTATTTTTTTATAGAGAGAGTGGAGGGTGGGTGCGGGGGAGAGAAAAACATGGATTGGTTGCCTCCCACACGATCCCCAACCAGGGTCGGGAATCAAACCTGCAGCTGAGATACGTGCCCTTGACAGGGAATTGAACCCGAGACCCGCTGGTCCAAGGGCACCTTGTGCATTGGTTCTGTTTCCTCAACTAGACTTTTGAAGACGGGTTGTATTTTTTGCACTTTGCCCAGAGCGGGAACGCCTGTCCCTCAGTAAGTCTTGGATGGATAGATGTGTGTGCACCGTTTCATGATAAGGCTCTGAGGGGTAAAACCCAGTTAAGACATACGTCTACTTAAAGAAAGGATATTTGAGTTACCAGCAGAGACGTTAATTTCCAACTACTTTAAAAATAATACGATGACTTTGTGCTCTGTATAGAGTAAATAAGAGTTGCTTTGTCATGAATAGTAACACTAACCAGCAGAGACGTTAATTTCCAACTACTTTAAAAATAAATACGATGACTTTGTGCTCTTTATAGAGTAAATAAGAGTTGCTTTGTCATGAAGAGTAACAATTCTGTGTGATAGGCTTTACGTATAGAATAATCATGCTGATGGTCAAAATAATGTATTCTTAGCCTTTCAGCAGGAACTCGATGCACGACATGACAAATATGAGAGACTTGTAAAACTCAGTCGGGATATAACCGTAGAAAGTAAAAGGATAATCTTTCTGCTCCATAGGATTACAAGGTGAGTAAATACCTCTGACTTTTACGACAGTTGGATGTAATTCTAACTAGCTGCTAGAATATTCCGTGACTTATTTTTGTCAGCATTGGGTCAGAGGACGTTAGCAGCAGGCACATTTTAAGAATAAACATTTTCTTCAATAGATATAGGTAGGTGTCTTTTCCTTTATCAGTAAGCTTTGGTAGCTGTGCCTCTCAAGGAATTTTTTTCTTTATCCTTTCATTTCTGTAGGCTCTGTAGTGACATCTCCTCTCATTCCTCATGTTGGTATTTGTGTTCTTTTTCCTGATCTGTCTGGCTCCATGTTACTGATCTTACAGGATCTTGGTTTTATGACATTGTCCGTTTCCCTACTTGCATTACCCCAACCTGTTTTTTCCCTTTGCACGCTTGCTTTGGATTCGTTTGCTCCCCTTTTTTTAGTTTCTCGAGGTGGAAGCTGAGATCAAAGACGAACTCTCCTTTCTAACGTAGACATTTAGTGCTGTAACTTTCCCTTGCGAGTCTCTAAGAACGCTTTCCCTGCATTCCGTGAACTTGGATATGCTGTTCTCATTTTCATTCCATTCAAAATACTTTCTCAGGGAGCTTCCCGGCTCTGTGTAGGTTTCTCATTCCTGCGCTGTCACTTGGGAAGTGTCCAGGCACTCAGATAGGACAGTCCGTGGGCACCTGTCCTTTTCCTCACCTCTCTCTCAGGTCGCTGTCCCGTGCTTCCTGTTGTCCGGTGTTGTCCATAGTTTGTATGTTTTTTTTTTCTTTTTTAGTTGTTTTTGGTGGGAGGATAATTTCTGCCCACGTTACTCCATCCTGACTGAAAGCAGACAGATCCAGATGTCATATTGTTATGAACATAATTTTTCTTTTTTTTTAAATTTAAATTCTGTATTGTTGAAAGTATTACATATGTCTCCTTTTTTCCCCCATGGACCTCTCCCCGGCTGCTCCCACCCCCCTATGATTTTTCTTATAGTTATGATTATAACACATAGAGCTTTGTGTATTTTTTTTTCACTTAATAGTATGTTGCAGCATTTTCCATGTGTTTACATAGTTTTAATAAAATCAGTTGCAGTTTTGAGTTAGCATCTAAATACATACAATATTTATTTAGGCCTCTGTTAAGTGATCATTAGATTATTTCAGTTTTTCTCTATAAAGCATCTGGCTGATGTTCTAAAAGTTCCCAATATCTTGGTTCTAGCACTCCTGATATGGAGGAAATACTGACTGAGTCGGAAATTAAATTGGATGGTGTCAGACAAAAGATACTGCAGGTGGCCCAGGAGCTCTTGGGAGAAGAGATGCATCAATTCCATAGAGCCATTACGACAGGTGAGTTCTCTTCAACGCTAACATTACTTTTAAAATAATGTGTCACACCATTGATGTGTGAGTTGCATGAATTTTAATGGGTTCTTGGTAACATATTATTGGCTTTAAAAAATTGGGACTGCTGAGTAGTAACGTAAAGGTAACCCAAAAACATTCGATCGGCTTTATTTTTCTAACCGTGCAGTTAGTCATTATAGATTTTAATAAAGTCTGTTTCCTAGTAACTGTTTTCTCAGTGACTTTATTCTTGAACGTGTAGAGTGAATTCAGACAAGGGGCATCTGATCTCCCAGCATGGGTATAGCTCACTGGTGGCAGGTTTCAGCTTTAGTGAGTTCATAAAGGAGACTATATCACCTGGCCAGGTGGATCCAAACATCGCTGGTGTGCCTCTATACGGGGGATTTTAGGATGGCACCGAGTTTATCTTCATTTAAAAAGTTCCAGGGAATACTGGATCTTGGTGATTATAACCATTTGCAAATTATAGTTGATCCCTGAACACAGAGGTTAGGGATGCCAACCAACACCCCTACCCCTGGCAATAAAATCCACGTGTACCGTTAGCCCAGTGGTCAGCAAACCATGGCTCACGAGCCACATGCGGCTCTTTGGCTCCGTGAGTGTGGCTCTTCCACAAAATACCACGTGCGGGTGCGCACGTACAGTGCGATTGAAACTTTATTAAGTTGACTTTAGGGAACGTTGTGGAGTGAAAGGATGTAGTGTCGAGGATTGAGGAAGGTATGTTGAGGTGGTTTGGACATATAGAGGGGATGAACGAAAGGAGATGGACGAAACAAGTATACAAGACGAGTGTGGATGGGAGAGTTGGAAGGGGTCGACCTCAGCGAACGTACCTCAATCAGATTGAGGACGTTTTTAGCAAAGGCCATCTTAGGAGTACCCTAATTAAGTTAATTAACAATGTACCTACCTGTATAGTTTAAGTTTAAAAAATTTGGCTCTCAAAAGAAATTTCAATCGTTGTACTGTTGATATTTGGCTCTGTTGACTAATGTGTTTGCCGACCACTGCACTAGAGTAATTCACAGTGAAATACCATTCACCAGCATGACAGTTATAAACACCACTTTAAAAAACTGGTAGTGTCTAGCTCAGCCGTGGGCAAACTACGGCCCGAGGGCTGGATCCGGCCCGTTTGAAATGAATAAAACTAAAAAAAAAAAGACCGTACCCTTTTATGTAATGATGTTTACTTTGAATTTATATTAGTTCACACAAACACTCCATCCATGCTTTTGTTCCGGCCCTCCGGTCCAGTTTAAGAACCCATTGTGGCCCTCGAGTCAAAAAGTTTGCCCACCCCTGCTCTAGCTAAAATATGTGTCTATTTTATGATCACTTCCGGGTATGTACCCAAGAGAAGGGAGGCTTATGCCGCCAAAAGGTGTGTGAGAAAGCTCCTAACAGCCATCGTCTTAATACCCTAAAACTGGAAAATGTCCCCGGTGCCATCAGCATGAGAATGCATACATTGTGGTGTCGCTGTACAAGGTAATAGCACGTAGCAATAAAAACTGCTGAACAGACACAGCAGCAAACAGGAGTCTCACAGGCATTCTCTTGGGCAAAATTAGCCGACGTAAGAGAGTATCTGCTGGTCATTCCATTTCCGTGAAGTTCAGAAAGAGGCAGCGTTAACCAAGGGAGAAAGGCAGGGTAGGGTGACCTGGTGGAGTTGGGGCAGGGTGATTGACCAGAGGCACGAGGGAGCTTTCTGGAGCGTCAGAGATGTGTTACGTGTTTATCTGGATGGAGCTACATCATCCTGCACATACGTAACAATTCATTGAGTTTGACATTTAAGATTTGTACACTTTACTGTTTGTAATTTATAGCTTTTTTTTTTTCATCCTTCTCTGAGGATATTTTTTCCACTAATTTCTAGAGAAAATGGAAGGGAGGGAGAGAGAACCTGAGACCCTTTGGTTCATCAGCCATCGCTCTAACTAACCACTGAGAAAACCAGCCAGGGCTGTAACTGATTTTTTTTTTAAAATAGAAAAATCACTATTGACTAATGAGTTCCTAGCTCCTTTTCCAGAGCAGTTCTTTGTATTGGGGGATTACATCCATAATAATACTCTTTTTAAATAAATAAATAAATAAGTATATATACACACACACACACACACACACATACATATATTATGTTATGTTATATATATATATTTATTTATTTATTTCAGAGAGGCAGGGAGAGAGAGACAGAAACATCAATGATGAGAGAGAATCATGGATCGGCTGCCTCGTGCACGCCCCCTACTGGGGACCAAGCCTGCAACCCGGGCCTGTGACCTTTGACTAGAATCCAACCCAGGACCTTCAGTCCGCAGGCCAACACTAAGCCAATCCGGCTAGGGCTCATAACAAGTCTTTAAAATAAAACTAGGTTCTTTAAGTTGAAGCAATAAGAATTGTTTTCCCTTAAAGTTAAGTAATAAATCAGTCAAATGAAGAGGTATCTGGGACTTAAAAATTTGCTGACATATTTTATTTGAGAAAAACACAGGTTACTTATCATTAGCGTAGCATTAACAACATGATGCTTATGAATAGCTTGCTGTTTGTAATTGTTCAATGCTTGTTTTGGTGTTGCTCCAAATAGTTGTTCTTTTGACTTGGAGATAAAACAATCCTGGCACTGAACTAAAGGAGTTCTGTGCTTTTCCTCATTAAGAATAGTGCTAATGGCACGCAGAGCAGTCCCTACGGGACCCTTGTGTGAGCTCCAGCACTGAGCATCCTACTCATAATTGAACAACAACAAAAGGTTCGGTCTGTTTTCTACACGCTTCTTATCAGAGGAGGTTACGGGTTGTCCCAAGGGGTGGTTAAACAAATGAGCGGATCATTAGTTGCTTGAAATAAGTCACTTAACCATTTTTTGTGCCCTGTCATGTTATTGTTTTATTTTTCTCTCTTGTTGAAAAATTAACAGTTGGAGGAAAATGCCCTTTGTGTCAAAGAAAATAAGTTATGTATATTTACATATATATATATATATATATTTAGTTTATGTCACTCTGAGGATAAAAATTGTCATTTAATTTTCGTACATTTCGGTGTACGAAGCTAAGTTCATACCCTACCTGATATTTTCATTCTCTTACCCGAGAATGTGAATGATGGGTTAGGTGGATGTTTTGGGCCAGTTAGAGCTATTCTTAGCTACTGTTCTTTATATTCATGGCCTTTATTATATCCCTAAGACGAAGGTATAATTTTTACTTCATAGAGGGGGGATTCAGACTCCCAGAAGTTAAGCAGCTTGCCCAAGGTCATAAGCTAGTAAGTGTTGCCATGGATTTCGTGCCACATGGGTTTGCATGTTGACTTGAGAACCTAACCCCTGGTAAAGGCTTTATCCTGCTTAAACTCTCCTCCCCCCAATATTAAGCTTTTCCTTATAAACCCACCCACATTACAGTTCTGATGTTGCTCTTTTTTCCATAGGACTTAACATATGCACTAAGTCAAAGAGGTCCTTACTCCTTGACAAACTGTCTTAGTTTACAGTGCCTTAATAGGGTAAAGAATAGGGATCCATTAGCATAACTTACCTATTACTTTTTACTGTTATAGTGCATATTGGACTAACATTATGGAATAATAACGGCCTCTTTTAATTGTGAGTTAATACATTGAAACAAAACAAAAAAGCCCCACTGCATTCTAAGTTATAAAATATTTCTAGCAAAAATTAATACCTGTCATTCTTATTTTAATTATTCTCAGTGTAATTCACGTTACAGAGGAGGGCCCTTGTACCCCGATCTATTATTCTACGTAAATCCTACAGGGCAGGTTGATGTTTTACTTAACGCATGAGGCTATTGAAGTTCAGTGAAGTTGCTGCTATGAACGAACATTGACCTGCAAGTCTTTGTGTGAACATATACCCTCAGTTCTCTTGGGTATCCACCCGGGAGTGGAGGAGCTGGGGGCACTTGGCAAACAGTTTTTTGAACGATTGAAAGCCTGGAAAGAAAGTGCAGACATGAACTTGGGATTTATAATGGAACCTCTTGTCTTGTCTGTTCACCTTTATAAGAATAAGTAAAAACAGCCAGAAGCCTGTAATTGGGTTTCCTTGTATATGTTCTAATGGAAGGACGAGGAGAAAAATAACAAATTGCAGAAAAGCAGCCGACAAGCTTCTCTCTTACTGGCAGCTGTTTCTGTAAATAATTCTAATTGGATCTCGTCCAAGGCAAAAGCAGAAGGGGAAGGCATTGTTTGATGGGATATGGCAGTAGGTTGAAATTTTTCACCTTGGGGATTAGTCACTGAAAATAGCGGATGTTCTTTTCATCAACTTGAAACATAACTTGTTTAAACATCCTTTAACCTACATGTGACCCAAAAATGCTTTTCAGTGTTGGGGGCCAGATGGCCTTGAACTTTCTCCATGGTATATCACGAAACTTAATTTCTATGGAGTAGAAATGGCCACCTCATCTCTGCAGTAACTTTAATCAAACACCCCCCACAGACACCTTAAATAATGACTAGATATGCTTGAAAATGTACTATCTGATAACCACCCACATTAATAGAGATTGACACCACAGATGAATTTTTAAACAGTTTTTATTAAATTGATTGGGGTGACATTGGTCACCATGAACATACAGGCTTCATGTGTGGGCTTCTATGTTGCAGGATCTGTATGTTGCACCGTGTGCCCACACCCAAAGTCAGATCTTCTCCTGTCACCTCATATAACGACGCCCTTCTCCCCCCACCCCCTTCCCTCTGGCAACCACCACTCTGCTGTTTGTGTTCATAAGTTTCAGTTTTAGGAGTGAAATCATATGGCTTTTTCTGTCTGACTCATTTCACTTAGAATAGTGTTCTCAGGGCCCATCCATGCTGTTGCAAATGTCACTAAATACCAGACCCAGTGCTCGCGCTCCGTAGGCGTGCACTGAGCTTTTGTTTAGCCAGGTGATGCTCCACGTGACGTCTTTATGACATTCTTACTAACGGAATGGTTTTCCTTAGTCATTTTCTGGTTGGTTTTTCAGGGCTCCAGGAATATGTGGAGGCCGTCTCTTTTCAACACTTCATCAGAACACGATCACTGATCAGTATGGAGGAAATCAATAAGCAGTTGGTATTTACAACGGAAGACAGTGGGAAAGAAAACAAGACGGTAAGAATTTAAAGCCACATGTCACATTTATTACCTCATTCATGTAACGGTATCATGATTGTAGGAGGTTTATACTGGCTGCTGGTGGTAGGATATGGAGATGGCAGCGTGGTTTCATAGATTCCCACGCAGGGAAATGGCCTTTCTGACTATTTTAGTTGGTGGCTAGGACAAGAACAGCGGTGGGTGTGTTGAGGGAGAGTAGATCTCCCTGTCCACCTGAAGCACTATTGAGCGATTCCTGTAAGTTCAGTTTCGGTGTCGCTGTATTTACTGTGTGCCCTTTATAAGCACTATCTCATTTCATCCTTTTTAAAAAAATGTGTTGCCTTTATTGGCTTTAATTCAAGATACATCTATTTTATTTTTTAATCCTCACCTGAGGATATTGTTCCATTGATTTTTAGAGAGTGGAGAAGGGAGGAGGAGAGACAGAGAGAGAGAAACATCGATGATGGATCGGTTGCCTCCTGCACACGCCCCGACCAGGGCCGGGGATCGAGCCTGCAACCAAAGTAGGTGCCCTGGGTCTCAAGATACAATATTCAAGCAGTGAGGTGAGATTTTAAATGTTTGATATTTCCTGAGATACTAGTATACTTAAAGGTAAAATTAAAGTTTTTTTCTTTATTTTTTATCTTTGTTTCTGTTTTAGTATTTAAAAATTACTCAGAGTCAGACGATGTAAGAAGCTATAGAAATAGTGTTTTCTTGAATATTAGCTAAAATGTTTATATTGAAAGCGGGGGACTTAATTTTGACATGACAGATAGAAACTAACTTTAAGGAAGGTACGCATTTTCTCAGTTTTTAAACTATATGAAGTTTATAAAGGAGGAAATTCATTTTAACATGCTTTTTTCTCCGAAATCAACTTTTAGTTATAACCAGGGAACTCCTTCTGTCTAATGATAGAAATAAGAACGTTAATATTTTCTCAAGCAAAAGTTATTTTTATGAATGACCTATGCAATGGAGCCCTCTTTCCACTCCTACAGTTTCCCTACCCTTCCTAAAAAGATGCCTTTTCTCTAACAGTTAATAGAAACGGAACATAGCAGGTACTTTATGTCATGCTGTAGTTTTAAAGGCACCAGAATAATCTGAAGCTGACTTTGGATACTTACTCATTTCTGTCAGTAACTAGCTGTATTCCCTCTGGTGTTTCTTGGACCTCATCTCATCTCATACTTGACATTGCGAGGATTGGACCAGCTGGTCTCAGAAGAGAGTCCAACAGCATTGAACGATCTTAGTAATATACTCCATTTGACTGCCATTTCCTTGCTTCCTTCTCAGCGACTCTGTTATCTATAAAGTTCAAGTTCCTAAATGTGCCTTATACCCTTAGACTCATCCTGTACTACTTCTCCTTTAACCCTGACCTGGAAGAAAACCTCTAGTTTCTCAGCTGTGCAGCTCCGTTGTCACCCCCAGGCCTTTGCAGCCAGCCCCTCTCTAAAGGGGCCTCCATTGTAATTACTTCCCCTACGTCTCATACAGACTCTTAGTAACAATTTAAGCATCGCCTCTTCCTGAAAGAATGCAGTGTGTAGAGAGAATTGATGTGGAGAGAGATTTACATGGTAATGGTGATGGTGATTGATAGCAGCTAACATTTATTGAGTATTTACTTTGTGTTGGGCGCAATGCCAAGAACGTGGTAAATATTATTTCATCCTTGAAATAAAACCTCTGAGGTAGGTACTGTTATCCCATTTTACAGATGAGGAAACTGAGGTTTAGAGAGATGAAATAACTTGCCCAAGGGCATACACCTTATGAAGCAAGGTCCTGGAAGAGGTGGGAGGAGATGGGTCAAGGTCATTTGGAAGAGTTAACCTCAAACAAGAGGAGGGACAACTCATCACCTGAGACTGGAGGATAGAAGGTAAAGATGGGTGTGGACCTGAGTTTTCTTTTATAGGCATAAGGCCATCGAGAGAGCTTGTGCCAGGTGACCTGGCAACATGACCAGGCCACTGACCGTAGGTTTGGGATTAAGTAGGGGGCTGAGGAGAGTGATGACGGTTTGGAATAATGTCTAAGGAGACTGGAGAGAGAATCATCTAAGATAAAGTGAAAGGAGCGGTGAGTCATTTGTAGTGGAACGAACTACAGATGCAGATGTAATTATTATTATTTTTCAGCTCAGTGGGACTCGACCTCTTGAATCAAGTACTCACAAAAGTAGGTTTTAACATCGATTCAGGCTGTGTTTTCTCTGGTTGCAGTAGAAAAATAGGAGCCTAAAGGAACTGAGGAGGATGTAGCAAGAGAGTAGTCAATGAGGATGGTCAGTGCTGAATAGGGATAGGAGAGAGGCCAGAAAGCGCCGAGTGGCTTAGGAAGAGGAGAACCAATCACGTACATGGGGGGCTTCGAGATGTGTTATTTAAATAAGGACATTTCTCATGCAGTAAAGTGATTGGTTCCTGTTTAAGAATGCTTTAACTTTATAGGATAGAAGGTAAAGATGGGTGTGGACCTGAGTTTTCTTTTATAGGCATAAGGCCATCGAGAGAGCTTGTGCCAGGTGACCTGGCAACATGACCAGGCCACTGACCGTAGGTTTGGGATTAAGTAGGGGGCTGAGGAGAGTGATGACGGTTTGGAATAATGTCTAAGGAGACTGGAGAGAGAATCATCTCAGATAAAGTGAAAGGAGCGGTGAGTCATTTGTAGTGGAACGAACTACAGATGCAGATGTAATTATTATTATTTTTCAGCTCAGTGGGACTCGACCTCTTGAATCAAGTACTCACAAAAGTAGGTTTTAACATCGATTCAGGCTGTGTTTTCTCTGGTTGCAGTAGAAAAATAGGAGCCTAAAGGAACTGAGGAGGATGTAGCAAGAGAGTAATCAATGAGGATGGTCAGTGCTGGATAGGGATAAGAGAGAGGCCAGAAAGGGCCGAGTGGCTTAGGAAGAGGAGAACCAACCACATACATGGAGACTTCGAGATGTGTTATTTAAATAAGGACGTTCGTCATGCAGTAAAGTGATTGGGCCCTGTTTAAGAATGCTTTAACTTTATTTTGTATGTCAAGTGAAGTTGGAAATAGTTGACTTTATAATGATACAGTATTAGATTTCAAAATTATCTTGGACAAATTTCATTAAACTCCCTACCCAAGGCATGAATTCCTCTTGGAACATCACAAATAGTCTTTAAACAAAATAGATCATTTTATTTAGAGAAGATTAGCATGGCTGATGGGCTATTGGTTTTGTGCCTTATAATACATGTGACACCTGCAAATTCACTCTTTCTCACCGGTGTTTTCTTTGTGTGTGTGTGTTTTCTTCTACCAGCCCTCCTCCGACGCTCACGATAAAGAGTCTGGTACTTGGAGACTGAGAATCACCCCTGTCGATTACCTGCTGGGAGTGGCCGATCTGACCGGCGAGTTGATGCGGATGTGCATTAACAGCGTGGGCAACGGGGACATCGACACCCCCTTTGAAGTGAGCCAGTTCTTACGCCAGGTGTATGATGGGTTTTCATTCATTGGCAATACCGGCCCTTACGAGGTGTCTAAGAAGCTCTATACCTTGAAGCAGAGCCTGGCCAAGGTGGAGAATGCCTGTTATGCCTTGAAAGTCAGAGGCTCAGAAATTCCCAAACACATGCTGGCAGATGTCTTTTCAGTTAAAACAGAAATGATTGATCAAGAAGAGGGCATTTCTTAGAATAACATCACCCACTTGTTATTCTCTTGAACTCCTAAGAGAGACCAGTTTGTGAGACTGTTACTGGGTATTGTATCTGACTTTATTGTGGCTTTTACATAGGACATTTTCAGTTTCACTTGTTTGGAATTATAAACAAGCTGTACATAAAATTATCAAAATGAAGCATTTTCTACTTCTTACTCATGAAAGCTTGCATACAAGTGTTTGCCTAGAGGCCTGTCTGAATTTTTGTGGGCTAAATTCCATCACTTGTCTCTTGTCTTGTGTGAGTGTGCCTGAGTGCGCTTTCTGCACCCGTTTCGCTTCACTTTGTGTGGGTTTTGAGTGCTAGTAATTAGTGGAAGCCAATCATAACTTAAGTCGGTGGTTTTGTAATACATAGAAAAGACTTTCTAGTCATACACCTGGACTTGAGCTTTTTGTTTTAATTTCTTGGTAGTAGTGTGCCAAGCCTCCAAAATAGGCTTATTCCATAGAACAGAATTAAAATTACAAAGTTATCAATATACTTTAATTTTATGTGGCATCATGGTAAGAATTCACAGTATGTTCTGGCTAATTTAGGCCACTTTGAATCCCCATGATGAAATAGCCTTCCAGAAAAATTGACAGATACCCAGATGTCAGTTTCTACTTTTAACTTTTGTGCTTTATCACAGAAAATCGGATAGAGAATTGGAATTAATATTGTAATATTTTTACTGGTGTTTTAGTTGAATTATATGCTTGTACATACAACTGTAAAACTTTTAGTGGTGATTAGTTGGCAGTTTTTTTTTTGTTGTCTATTATATTGACATTAGGCATGTTTGGAGACTTTCCTATTCTAGCATCTATAAGAAATTATATTTAAGTAATTATAATGAAGTTTTGAAATTTTTGAAATACTAAGTTAACCCAAGCCTTTATAGTTGTCTAGTTGTCCAGTTGTGTTCATCGATAGTATAAAAGTTGCCAAAGAAAACTGATCCTGTACAATTCAGCAATAAGACAATTGTCAACACATTGGGAACAACAATGGTAGTTTCTAGTTACATTTAGCGTTGGCATTTGCCTACAGAAATTAGTTGTAGATGATCCCCTGTGATGTGAAACTGACCTGAGCATGACCTGAGCTGTTGGTGACAACCAGACATTTCCACTGGGTTTTGTAAGTTTTGAAAAATTAGAAACCGGATTTTATTTTTTGAAAGATTAGCTGCTCTGTTTGTAAGAGCTGATTCTTTGAAAGTGTAATTTACCCCCAACAAATTACCTAGAGGAAAAAAAAACATAGGCATGCCGAATAAATTAGGTTTGTTAGTTTGTTTTGGTGGTAGTGACTTTTTTGTTTCCCTATTCGAAGATAGATCGCTGAAATGTAGTCTCATTACATATTTTTGTTTCTTCTGCCACTTGAAGTTAAATTTATGTTAAAAGCAAAAATATCTTACAGATGTTTAAAACTGAAGTCTTTGAATAAAATATTAAAACATAAAGTTAATCTTATTTTTTATTATGCTGAGAAATACTTAATCAAATTGTTGTATATAATTCCCCCCTCCCCCATCACCATTTATCCCCTCTTCCACTCTTCCCCACCCCCAATCACCACACTGTTGTCCATTGTTGTATATAATTTTTGGCCCAAACAGGAAACCCAATATAGACTAGCTTGATCGGGAGATTTATTATTTCTTAAAATAGGACCAGAGGTTGGGTGAGTTTCAGGAAAGACATTTCTTTCATCTCATTCACCCAGACCTGGTCACACTCTCATTCCTCTAAGCCTGTTGTTGGAAAGGAGAACTGCTTCACCTGGATTGGCCAACGTGCACTTTATCGAGAGGAGGAGGGTGAAGACAAGGCATCAGCTTAGGAGGGTGGAGGCTGCCTTTGAGTAGGTAGTTAACTGTTCCCTTTCTAGGTTGATACACTTTTTAAAAATAGACTTTTACTGATTTCAGAGAGGAAGGGGGAGGGAGAGAGAGAGAAGCATCAGTGATGAGAGAGAATCATTGATTGGCTGCCTCCTGCACACTCCATACTGGGGATCAAACCCAAAAACTGGGTTTGTGCCCTGACGGGGAATCAGGAATCAAACTGTGACCTCCTGGTTCATAGGTGGATGCTCAACCACTGAGCCACGCCGGCCGGGCCTTGATTAGTTCCTACGGGGTGTGTTGTTGGTGGGTAACCTTTTAATTTAGTCTTCGAGTTACAGGGTGGCAAAGGCAAGTTGCATGGAACTGGAAGAGGAATGGACATGAGAGATGGATAGTGACGGACAGGACGTGGTCCCTCCCCCGTGGGAAGAGGGTGAAGCGCTTTGCTTGCATGAAGGACAGTTGTCGCATCACATCAGGTAAAGGCATGGTGTCGTTTGGAAGTGGAAGCCTAGCGGGAAGGGGGTGAGCGAGCACCCAGTACCCAAAGGCGTGGACGAGGCCGGGTGTTGCCTGTTGATGCTCCGGGCTAGACTCTCTCTATTGTCGGAAGTTGGAGGCCAGCCTTCCTTGACTGCCTTGCTAGATGGGTTTCACTCGCGATGGACCAATGAGAGAGGCCCAGGTACTATTCGAAGAACAAAAGAGAACCGAGGCCACTATTGTTCCTGGGGCCTCCGAGGGCAGGTGTGAGGGCTTGTTCGGCTTGTTCGATGCAGACGTGAGCTTCTGCAGACACTTCACCTGCTTCAGGGCAGCGAGCAGCCCACGTCGGCAGCTGCGGTTTCCTGTCATTCCTGTGACTCCGTGACTCCCCGAATTCACTGGCAGCTTTCCCGGCCTCTCCCAGGTTTTGGAAGCACCTGGATTAAATCTTTCCTGCGTGGATTACCCAGAGTGCTTTCTGTTTTCCTGACTGACTGCCGGTGAATAGAGCCAATGGCAGATATGAAATGCACGTGGTTTTTTATTTTTATTTTTTTTAAACCTTCAGAAGGAATGTAATCCAATACTTTTAAAAAATATATTTTTATTGATTTCAGAGAGGGAAAGAGAGATAGAAACATCAATGATGAGAGAGCATCATTGATTGGCTGCCTCCTGCACGCCCCCCACTGGGGATCAAGCCCACAACCCGAGCATGTCTGCATTTTTATTAATCTTTTCTTGATCAATCGAACAAGATGTCAGGGCTCACTCAGGCCTTGTCTTCTCAAAGCACTTTGGTCAACATTTCCCTACGAGGCACTTTTTCATCGCTACAGAGCTTCCCGTCCTGATGCTATAATGAATGGATTCAACCAATTCTATTTTATTTTAAATTTATTTATTTATGGTTTAAGGGTTATTTTTGAATACTTGTGATTACAAACAAAACTGACACAAAATGGCCCGGCCAGCGTGGCTCAGTGGTTGAGCATCGACCTATGAACCAGGAGGTCATGGTTTGATTCCTGGTTCAGGGCACAGGCCCGGGTTGAGGGCTCGGTCCCCAGTAGGGGGCGTGCAGGAGGCAGCCGATTCATGATTCTCTCTCATTGATGCTTCTCTCTCTCTCCCTCTCCCTTCCTCTCTGCAATCAATAAACATATAACAAGCAAACAAAAAACCGGACACAAATGGCCTAATAACTGCGTGTCTACCTGCATCTCTGCTTATTTCTTTAGGATAACTTGCTGAACGTAGAATAGCTGGGTAATAGGAATGTTCTTATTTATTGACAAACTGAATTGTTTTCTTCTAGAACAGCCCTCAATTGCTTGAAAACTCCCTTCTTAAAGTCTTGTTTCCCAAGATCCAAATGACATGGACGTACATTTCTGCGTCTCTCCGCAAAGCTGGAGGCCTCACATGCTAATTTCCTTCCAGGGCCCCCGAGGGGTGGTCCCTGGCCTGGCTCCCCCACTTCACCCCACCCCGCCGCAGTTCATCGCAATTCCACGTGTCACACGCGCCCCGAGCCGCGGTACGTGCGCCCGGGGAGGACGGTCCCCGTGATTGCTTTTCAACATGAAAAAGAAAGTGTCCGTGCCTCACATGTATCTGCCTCGGTTGCCAGCACCCAGCCCCATCCTGCCTCCAGGAGCTTAACGAGACGAGCAGATGCTGTTTCTTTAATCCCCATCAGCGTGCTGTCAGGGTCTGGCGTTCCTGGAACTGAGGCAGGGAACGGATGGGGCGGACTAAAACGTATGGGAAATATTCCTCAGGTCTTCCAGCTCCCGGTTACAGTCTAGCGCGCTCTTCTGAAGCCATTTCTATGGCAGGTGCTCTGTACGAAGCCTGCAGGCCGGCCGGCATGGCTCGGTGGTTGAGCGTCGACCTATGAACCGGAGGACTCGGCGTTCCTGGAACTGAGGCAGGGAACGGATGGGGCGGACTAAAACGTATGGGAAATATTCCTCAGGTCTTCCAGCTCCCGGTTACAGTCTAGCGCGCTCTTCTGAAGCCATTTCTATGGCAGGTGCTCTGTACGAAGCCTGCAGGCCGGCCGGCATGGCTCGGTGGTTGAGCGTCGACCTATGAACCAGGAGGACTCGGTTTGATTCCCGTTCAGGCCACATGCCCAGGTTGCGGGCTCCATCCCCAGTGTGGGGCGTGCAGGAGGCAGCCGATCCATGATTCTCTCTCATCACTGATGTCTCTCTCTCTCCCTCCCCCTTCCTCTCTCTGAAGTCAATAAAAATAAATTAAAGGGGGTCAGCTGTGAAGGTGACAATTGACGTGTGGACCGATATGGCGAGGACAGACACTGGATACCTGGTGGCCCTCAGGAGAGACTCCAGGAGGTGGCTCGGGGTGGCTCAGCCAGGATGGGGCACCACGGGTGGGACAGAGAGCCAAGCTCCGGAGGTTGTGCTGTGGCCACTGATAAAGGCGACGCGGAGTTCAACCTGAACGCAGGAAGTCCAGCCGCAGTGCGCCCCTCCGCCCCCTCTGACATCTGCCAGCAGCACCGGCCTTTGTGTTAAAAGGAGGCGGGTCGGGGAGCAGCTGAAGAATGGGGACCCGTTTCCTCTCTTTGTGCCCCAGCCCCTCTCCTTGACACGCCCTCCATCCTGAGTCAACTGTGGTCCTCAGCTAAAGTGACAGCGTTCATCCTGTTCATCCCGGAGGAGCAACTGCTACTCCCAGGGCCCAGGGGGGCAGAGGCAGGAGGCAGGGCAGGAGGGAGGAGGGAGAAGACAGGAGAGAGGAGGGAGGAGGCAGGAGGGGAGAAGGGAGGAAGCAAGAGGGAGGAAGGAGGAGGGTAGGGGACAGGAGGGAGGAGGTGGAAGGAGGGAGGAGGACAGGGGGCAGGAGGGAGGTTGTGACTGAGGATTTCCTGGGAGCATCTGCCATCTAGTGCCGGCAGGAGAAGTGGTGTCAGCCCTCTCCTCGCTGCCTGTGTAAAGTTGTGCTTAGGACTCAGTGTGAGAAAACTATAAAACCAGCTGGCGTGGCTCAGGGGTTGAGCATCAGTCTAGGAACCAGGAGGTCACGGTTCGATTCCCGGTCAGGACACATGCCCGGGTTGCAGGCTTGGTCCACTGGTCCCCAGTGTGGGGCATGCAGGAGGCAGCTGATCCATGATTCTCTCGCATCACTGATGTGTCTATTTCCCTCTCCCTGCCTCTCTGAAATCAATAAAAATATATATTTAAGAAAAAGAAGCCCCGAAATCCCTGCCTGGGGTTGTTGCTTACTCTGGGGGTGCCCTTCGGAGACTTGGTTTCGGGAAGAAATCCGCTTGGGAGGGCAAATGGTTGGAAGAAAGGGTCCAGGGCAGCGGTTCTCAACCTGTGGGTCTCGACCCCTTTGGCGGTCGAACGACCCTTTCACAGGGGCCGCCTAAGACCATCCTGCATATCAGCTATTTACATTATGATTCATAACAGTAGCAACATTACAGTGATGAAGTAGCAACGAGAATAATTTTATGGTTGGGTCACCACATAAGGAACTGTATTTAAAGGGCCAGAAGGTTGAGAACCGCTGGTCAAGGGGCTTGTAAAGGACCAGGTAGGGCTCTGCCCGCCCTGCCGCCTGTGCACCCAGCGCTGCCCACACGCTGCTCCTTCAAGCCCCGGGCTTTCCTGCCTCGCGCATCTGCAGTCAATTCAGCGCAGACCTTGGTCGTGGGGCTCTCGAGCCCTGAGGTTGGACCGGGGTGACCTGGCGAGCGGGCGGGGTGGCTCCGGCAGCTCCCACTACGTGCCGAGGCAGCAGCCCTGGCGCATCTGGAATCCTCTTTGACCGCATCTGGCATGTCCATGCCGGGAGGTCAGCAGAAAATAATAACCCATTTCAATAACAAATCCCTCAAGTTATTTTTAAATACGGAAACGTAAGAAAGAAAACACAAGTGATTCAGGATCCCCCAGCTTAGCTAACACCTCCGTGGACACTAAAAAAACTACAGCCACTGCCCCACCAGCGTGGCTCAGTGGGAGCATCGACCTGTGAACCAGGAGGTCACGGTTTGATTCCCGATTAGGGCACAGGCCTGGGTTGCAGGCTCCATCCCCAGTGCCAATGGAAATGACTGTGAAAAACAGTAGAGACGGTCCTAAAAAAA